CTTGCTCTTCAAATGAGTTAGCAAAACATCAAATCCTTTGTCCGACAGACCATTCCTTGATTTCATCTCAAGTAGCAAAAGGTTAGCTTCTAACTTAGTGATAGAAGAACCATTGAACAGCGGTGTTTTTGCATCCTTTCTCATTTGCTCCAACTTCTTCAAATTTCTTTCATCAAGGAACTCTGGCTCCCCATCACATATCATCTTGCCTAGAGCATTAAGCACTTCAGTATTCAGCAAAGTGTCACGGCCTATTTCATTGATGGTTTCCTGCACAATTTCACTCACTGGTTCATGAACGGTTTCCTACATGGTTTCACTAACTGCTTCATGGATGGTTTGCTGCAAGGTTTCATTCACTGCAGTCTCCGACAAGGGTCCTTGGATGGTTTCCTCAAGTAAGTTGTCACCCTGCTCGCCATGCATGTTTCAAACCTTATAGTTTTTCATGAAACCCCTACTTAGCAGATGATATCGTATCTGCTCGACGTCGCGGATCCTATATGTCTTTTCATTCTTCCACGAACGTGGTAGTCACAGTTTCCAAGTACATCCATCCACGATCCATCTGTGAATAACACACAACTTTAGTGTCATAGGTCAACTATAGTCATTCAATTTAATACGAGCAAACTAGAGGATACATACTTACCGTACCATAGGGTAATTTGGTGTGCACACAACAATCAACAATCAGAAGAAATCAATAAGCACTCCCTTAAGAAGAAGGATCATTTTCGGTCACAATTTAACCACAGGGGCCGCATTCACAAAAGAGTCAATGCCTTCCACGAACGGGGCAGCAAGTACATCCATCCACACAATCCATCTGTGATTAAAACAATACAACTTTAGTGATCGACATAGGTGAACTAACTAATGTGTCATTCAATTTAATACAATCAAAACTATAGGATACATACTGATTGTAGGGTAATTTGGTGTGCGCGCAACAATCAAGAATCAGAGAAGCTGCCTCCCAAATCAAGAAGCACTACAACGAAGAACGATGATTTTCGGTCACAATTTAACCACATGATTGAACTAAGGTAGCTACACGAAAAGGGTTGTTAATTACTTACCACCCAATATAGAACATCCTTCACTAGCGTGGCAATCTCCAAAAATGGTGGGGGGAGCCGTGGCTGAAGAAAAGTTAACCGAGTGAAGAAGAAGAGGGAAATGGGATTTTCACTGCTCTTGCAGCCATTTATCACCATCGGACTAACTAGACAGCCGGTGGTGATACCCATTTTTACTGCCGGATCATAGACTATGGTATTCAGTGTCTGAAAAAAATGGCGGTAAAACTTTCTTATCACCGCCAGCATGAAAGGGCGGGAAGACGCCTTCAATTATTGCGATTTCCACCACCGGATCATACGATCAACCGACAGTTCTAGATAAAGGTCACCGCTGGATCATACGGTGGAGCGCCCATCCATCTTGCCATCGGCGGTGAAAACTTATTATCTCTGACACCTTCTCTGCATGTCGCACATCAGATCAACGGCTGGCGGTGATAAGTGTTCTACCGACGGTCCAGAGTACGACACGGTGGTAAAGCCTGGCAATTTGTTCACCGCCGGTTATTTGGTCAAAAGGGGCCCCTCAACCCATAAGTCGGCGGTGATACGCGCCATTGCCGGTTGTCACAAAACAGTTGGTGAAAGTCATGGCGGTGATTAAAGTTTCTGTAGTAGTGGATGGGCACAGGGGATGAGTCAGCAACTGTAACCAAATAGTCTTGAGCTCAAGGTGAAGCCGATAAAGAAACTCGTGAAGACGAAGTATGTCTCTCTGGTCCTGGTGACGGTCACAACACCGGCAAGTACCACCACCACAGAACTCAGCACCCACGACATCAAGGCGATGCCAGATAGCTGTCATCTAAAGTTGGAAGTCCTCTACTGTAGAGTCAAGCTGACGGAGCGCTTGAGCCTCCTCAACAACAGCAAGATACATCGCTTCGTTATGGATCTCGTAACTACGATGAAGGTGATCCCACATAAGGTGTGAAGTGGCAAGGCCTCTGAGGGACAATGAGAGATCGACCTCCATGCTCGCAAGTAAAATGGCCTTAGCACATCTTTTTCTCACGCCCAAGCCTCATAGACACCGAGATCAGACAAGTAGCTCTCCATCTCAACCTCAAAGGCCTCAAGTAAAGCACTCTTGGCATGATCAGCAGCATTCGGCGAGTAGGTACGCGGCGTGGGAAGAACGGGATGTGAAGAACAAATCCGCTCCCCCGTGAGGTAGCCCCACAGCCGTTGTCCACCCACGTGGATCTCCATATGGAAAACAAACTCTCCCCAATTGATGCCATTGAAGATGACAGGGCACCGGGGGATAGGAACAGCACCATGCACCCGGGGCCACGGGGGACGCCATGGAAGGAGGTAGCGACTGTTTTTTTTATTTTTATTTTTTTTGGAATGGAAAACAGCGGAGGGAAATGCCGTGCTGGCACAATTGTGCGAACGCAAACACGTGGCTGCACAGGCGTGGGGGCTGCGCGAGAGCGGGCAAGAGGGGCTGTGCGGGCACCTGCGGTAGGTTGCATGGGCACGAGCGGGAGGGGCGCGGGCCGGAGGCCGCGTGGGAGCGAGCGGCCTCACTCGGGAGGCTGCGGGCGCAGGCTGGAGGCCGCGCGGGTGGGGTTGGCAGATCGCTGGTGGCTCAACATAAGGTGAGAAGGAAACCCTCGCTTGATAGCATGTTAGAATGAGGCCAACTAGCTTCTGTTGCAAGGCCCAATGGGGCAAATACATGTGTGTACATATATGCAAAGAAGCCCTCTAAATAGAGGGAAAATAGAAATACATGTATACATCTAACACAGTCCTACCATTTTGTTCTGATATTCATTTCCAAAAGTTGGACCTGGCGAGAGGAGCCAACAAGTCTTGACAATTGGCTGACAATGATGTTATTCGTTCCATCATTTTGACCAATATGAGGGAAACTCGATGGCACACCAGTTCTCCAAGAGCTAGTGGAGTTGATAAGTATAGTAAACTGGTGCGGCTCCCTGGAAACCTACTTAAATTGACCAGGAGAAGATAGCTGAATCTGAATTAAAGTCTGGTTCTCCAAATCAGGAGACTACAACAGTAAATGATTGGAAGGTGCCACTTGGTTGAATAGGATAGCAGAAGATTATTGAATCTGAACTGAAGGTTGGTGCGCCAACTCAAGAGACAATAATGGTAAATAAGGGGAAGGAGCTGTCATCTAACCATCTACTATTTCTTCAAAGTCATCCACATCAAAAGGAATACTTGTGTTTGATTTTGTTCCTTGGTGAAATTTTAGGGTCAAAATGATTTTGTTCCTTGGTGAAATTTCCATGCAAAAAAAATGGTGGGTGAGTTTGAGCCAGGGCTTTACTGATGACTGGAATATCCATCTCCAGGCCGATGAGCTCGAGGAGCTTGAAGTCGTTAATGCCGTCAGGCATGAACAAGTCACTGATAACAAGGTCGAACTAGTCACTCATGTCCTTTCTCACTCTGAGCATGTCCAGCGCCATGGATGTGTCAGTCACCATTGTCTCTGCATAGGACCACAAGCATTCAAGCAAAAATGAAAAGAAATCACCCGAAATATTCAACATCTGGCCTTGAGCACAATGGAATCACGGGAAATAAACACTCAAAGGTGTTGTAGTTGCAAAGCTTTAGCATTCTGTTTATGATAACAAGGTTGATTTAGACGTCATCGACAGCGATCACGCGCAGTCCAGGTAAGAAAATTGTCGTGTACATCTCTTCCCCCATCAAAAAACATGATCAACGCCATGAAATAAATCATAGACCACAAAAACTCCCTCTTGAAAAACAACACACAACCCAAAGAGACTCAACCTTTCTTACCTGCTGCCATTGCTTTCCTGCAAGAACCTCCTGGAGCAACGAGTGGATAGGGAAGAAGTAGGGAGCGAGCAGAATTCGAGGTGGAGAGGAATGCAATGAAGGGGGTGGGGATTTATAGCAGGTGACTGGGGCACAAGGGCGGATTCAAGACCCTGTTCATCCTTGTTCTGAATTTCCCTCCCATTAATTTCAGATACAGATATGATAGTCAGGTTAGTAGGGGTGGACAAGTGGTACACCCACACTTCCTATCAAACTTAATTCTGCCAAGTGAGAAGCTACAATAGATATAGGAGAGTTAGAGAACCTGGATGACTACAGTACATAAACATGGGATTCCACTGAAGATGTTCCACTCACAGCCTTCTTCCTACTACAAATAGTAAATTATGTACATACCGCATGGAACCATGGATCTGTAAGAAGATAAGCCACATAGATGCAGAAACATCTACCTTTCATAGGAATTAAACTATAGGGCAAACTACAAGTTTCCACATAAGAAAGTATCGCCATTATTGAATAAATCCTGCTGTGAGAAAAGTTTGAGTTAGATAAAGCTCACTTAAGTGCTCATAATTTTCAAATGTAAAGCCTATTGTGACCTAAGCAAACAAGAAAACTATGAGAAGGTTCATACTTTTTAACAGTCGCCCAAAAATTCATCTATGTCATCACTGGCTATATTTTGTGCCTCACTTGTTCCCGAAAGGAGTTCATCGTTATTATTCACACAATCACCAATACTGATCAATCTGACATTACCTAGTTTATGATAGATCCCAAGGAACCAACAAAGGATCCCTAAGAGCAGCAATGCGATTCTATATGAAAACAAATATATTGACCCAAACTCAGAACCAGAGATTGTACAAGAGTTAGCAGGGAAGGTAGACCCACACCTCCCTCCAAACTTAATCCCCAAGTTGAAAGCTATAGCAGATGCAAGAGCTAATCTTCATAACTACACTACATGACACGTGATTCCACTGAAGATGAACCGCTCCTAACTAGCCTACAACAAATAGCACAACTTTGCTCATACAACATGCAAGGACCATGTATTTGTCAGAAGATGGCCAACATAATTCCAAAAACATCTTCCTCCCACTGAATTTACAGTCACGGAGCAAACTCCATGTTCCCATTAAAGAAAACATCACCATTCTTGAGTAAATCCTGTTGTGAGAAAACAAGTTGAGTTAGATAAACCTCACTTAAGTATAGTCATCCATTCCACATGTAAAGCCTATTGTGAAATAAATAGACAGGAAAAAATAAGAAAAGATCTTACATGTATATCCCACCTGTCCAAAAAGGCATCTATTTCATCAATGGCTTCAATCAGTGCCTCGCTTGTTCCTGTGCTATTCACTTGATCACCAATAGGATGTGGATCAATGTTACCACCTTCAGTGAGATTGCCAGTTGCACCCCCACCGTTAGGCATTTGAACTGGCACGACAGAATTGCTAATCTGTGGCTGGCTTGTTCCCACGACGAATCCATTGTTGTTCTCTTGATCACCAATAGCTTGCTGACCAACAGTGCCAACTTCTGAGGGACTGCCAGTTGCACCACAACCATTTGGCATCTGGGTCAACATGATAGAATTGCATATCTTAAGGTTAGACAATGCAGGTCTGGTGCCCAAAGAACTACCTAGAGCAGAGCTGCTAGTTGGCATCACTGTAGAGCTTGTGTTGTTTCCAAAGTCAAATGTTGTCATTGCTATCTGCTCACTGAAACCTACCATTGGTGTGTTTGTCCCAAAAGTTTGAACCTGGCGAGAGAATCCTGGTTTTGCAACAATATCTTCAGGCAAATCGACACCAGAGCCAATTGGATCCATGTCCTGCAGAGGAATCCCCAACAAGTTTCTCTGGGGGCTCATGAGCTCAACTATCTTAGTGGCCAGCACATTGTGTGTTTCAGATCCAGATAGAGAGTACATCCTTGCAAAAGGGTTGCTTGAGCTCGAAGCAACAACCAAGAGAGGGAATGTCTCGCATCTACCAAATTCCTGGTGATTTTCTGGTATACTCATGTTGCTATTAGCATGTGGCCCGCCATTCAACCATGCTTGTTCACCCCAAAATCGATTTGAGTGACTGAGTGTGGCCTCATTCAGCTTTCTCAATTAGATTTGATACTTCTGAAATTACAAGATAGACAAGTACATTTCATTTAAGGAAAAAATGGCAAAGACATAATGAACTGAAAATGATTTGTCGTTTAATTAACTCTAGTAATATATGTGTTAATGTTGCTGAGGGTTCATGGTTCTGCTCACATGCCATCCAAAACTTAATGTATGTGTTTATGGCACTAGAACTTTTATGTGTGACACATAGATGTTCCACAAGAAGTGTCACACACGCAAGTTCCATGAGAAGTGATCAAACACAAGTTCTGGCGGCATAAACACAAATTGGGTTTGAGATGGCAATTGGGCAGAAATACATGTTTGATCAAAATATATATTTAATAATAAGATAGTGGATAAACTCAAAACAAGTGAACGAAGCATGAGTAGAAACAAAACCTGCAGATGACTTGCAACACTCTCTCTACTGATGTTGTCCACATTCATCACTTCTAGAATTTTCTTTGGAACAGCCTCTGAAATTAAAATAACAAAAGATTTTGTTACTGTAAAAAAAATGGAATAAGTAAGCTCCATGTTGATAGAAAAGCAATGAAAAGTGATCTCTTACTGTCCATTTCAATCTGGTTGATGGCTTCCACAAACTTGCGGTGTAGCTGACCAGACCAATGAATCCTTTGCTTCTTCTGGGTCAATTTGTCCTTGTCCTTGTCAGCATCATGTCTAACTTTTTTGCTCTTCTTTGAATGCTTCCCGGTGTGGTTTGCACCATCCTTCTCAGCATTATCGTCATCCCCATATTGCAATTTCTGACCAGCATTATCATTGACATTGCTGATTTTGTTCCTTGAATTCTTCCCCACCACATGCATCCATATGTTCCTAACATGCTCAAGGCGCACTGGCTTCACGAAATAGTCACAAGCCCCATGCTTTATCCCTGTTACCATAGTCTCCATCTCATCGTTAGCAGATAGCACTGCATAACATAAGATTAATTATGAATTCACACATCAATAATAAGCTCAATAGACTGGACAAAAAATACTCAAGTGGAATTTGTCTTATTGAGTTGACACATTTCCCCCTTTTGTTTTATTTAGATTCTTTTAGAAAAATAAATGTGTCGCACACACTGCAAAATGGCAAGTCTCAACCATGGTCACTTATTTGTTTCAAAGCTTTTAATAGGAGAAACTATACAAAGTTATCATAATTGGACTTATTCGCCCCTACATCCTCATGAAACAAACGCTAGCTATTACAACCAACAATAATTAGCATAATTGCAAACCACAAAGTTCAATTGTTATAATACGTAACATATAAATTAAAAATGACAAAACTAAGTGGTCAGCTTGACACTAGCCAGCTAGCACTTACAAACAAACAGTAAGATACAAAGCTACAAACAACAAAAACTCAATTCCATGCAGCGCATACGAGAAAACCATGACATCTAGAAATGGCAGAATTGACTGACCAACATAACGATCGCTGGACTTCTCTATTCAATGTTGTTATTGACAGCTTTGATCTCAGAGAAATTGACTTGAGTGGTCGACAATTCTCATGGGTGAATTCCCTACCAAATCCAACTTATGAAAAGTTAGAGTACTTATGATGACAGATTGGGAATTTAAATATGCGTTGGTGCGGTACATGCTCTAGATAGAGGTGTATCTGACCACACGCCTCTGTTGCTTGATACTAGCATGCCGGCCTACACGAGGCACCAAAAACAATACAAAATGGAATTGAGTTGGTTCACTCGTGATGATTTCTATAACCAGGTCCTAGAAATCTCTGGGATAAACCGGTCCAAGGAAGTAATTCAGTTCAACATTGGAATAATAAGATGAGTCCATTACGGCGATATCTTCGGGGATGGGCGGCCCATACCAATGGTACCTACAAGCTATAGAAAGCTAGTTTACAAGACACAATTAATAATTTAGATTTTGCCTCTGAGGCTCTTGATTTGACAAATTTTTAGCTTGAACTTTGGCACTATAACTTTAACACCGAAAGTTTAAGAAGCAAATCGAATCCAGCAATATAGACCAATTTGCCTATTAAATGTTAGCTTCAAAATTTTCACAAAAGTGGCTACTAATAGAATCAACTCTGTGATAGACCACATGCATCTTCAGTCCATCTCAGACAGCTTTCATGCGAGGGCGTAACATCCTTGATGGCATGTTACATGAGATTGTTCATGAGCTACATTGCAGACATCGGAATGGAGTGATATTGAAAATAAACTTTGAGAAAGCATATGACAAAGGGAAGTGGCCATTTTTGTTTCAAACACTGCAAATGAAAGGATTTTCACCTAAGTGGATATCTTGGGTTGAGTCTTTCGTTTTGGGTGGATTGGTGGAAGTGTGGCAATCAATGTCAATGATGATGTCGGACATTTTTTTCCAAACGAAAAAAGTCCTTCGACAAGGAGATTCTCTCTCTCCATTACTTTTCAACATTGACGCGGATATGTTAGAAATTCTGATTAATTGTGTCATGTGGGGCCACGCCTATACAAGGAAACGGCGCGCCCGGGATGGCCGCAGAGCCACTGAGGATCTGGGCACGGTCACCATGCAGGTAGGCGCGCCAGCTGAGGATATGGCATGATCACCCAACATGCAGGTCAGGAAGAAATGGCAAGTAGATAGAAGGAAATAATAGCCGATCAAGGCCTTAGAATTAGGAGCAATTAGCTCCAATTTGTAGTGTCAAATGGCCTATATATGAATAAGAATCAAGCAAGAATTATTACCTAATCTCTCTTCTTCTTCCTCCAAACCGACTGGAGCTAAGGGGCAAAACCTCGCCCAGCTACCACGGGTCGCGGCTATGAACTCCGTAGCCGGGTCCTGCTAGTCTCGGACCTGACGTCCTTGACAAATTGAGCCAAAGAGGATGGGATGATAAGTGGAGTAGTGCCACATCCTGTTGATGATGGCTTATCTATTCTACAATATGCAGATAAGTGGAGTAGAGCTTAAAAATTAGATTACTTTCGGTCCAGATTTTTATTGGCAAAGTGATGATCAGAGAAGAAAGTATCATCGCGTGAAATGGAACATTTTGTGTCAACCTAGAGACTAAAAGGAATAGGAATTCATGATTTAAATATTAAGAATGTTGTTGTACTCAGCAAATGGTTGTTCAAGCTACTAACAACTGATGGAACATGGCAATAAATTGTATGCAATAAATATTTTGGATCTAAACCGCTTTCACAGGTCTATTGGAGAAATGGGGATTCACATTTTGGGCCAATCTCATGAAGGTTAAACAATATATTCTTCGTTTTGGTCCCTTCATAATCAAAGATGGCTCACAAGTTAGATTTTGGGAAGACGGATGGTTCGGCAATGTGACACTGTTATGGTGGCTGTTATGGCTGCTGGGATTGCGAGGGGGAGAGAGGGCCGGCCGGGAGCCTTGCCCACGGCCGAGCAAGAGAGAAGGCTTTTCCCTCTTAATTCTTGCTTATCTCTATCCGAGTTATTACAGCCATTAAATAGGCAACCTGGCCTCAAACCGAGTGGTTGGCGTCATCCCTTGCCCAGTCCCATGCTCCAACGCATGCCTAGTCTTCTCCTCCTAAATTGCCTAGCCTTCTCCTAAATTTAGGCCATGCACAGTCTTCCCTTTTTCTAGTCTCATGCTCCACCGCATGCTACCTCCTTGCCCAATCTTGGACATGCAGTGATCACACGCCTCTAACACTACACCCCTCCTGGACAAGCAGCTCATCCTTGAGCTGCAACCTACTCGACACAAACCTAACACCTATAAACAAGCCTTTTATATCTCGGGTCACTTTATTATTCTTAACCTAAAATGGATTGGGACTCTTTATTTTTGTTGCCTCCCGAACATAAAGTGGACACCATCCGCACACCAGAGCTACACATGTACAACCACCTGGATCCCATGGACACCATCGGGACAAAGGGGGCGCATGTGGATGGCCACCTGGAAGTGGTCGCAGCAGCGACCAGCGGAGGCGGCCTCGTGGTGGGCGGTGGTGGAATGCGGCAGCACTACGCGGTGTGCTCCCGCGTGTGACCCCATGTCTTCTCCCCGCCAGATGGCTACTGGTCTGCACCGCACAGAGAAAAGCGGAGATCTTTTGATGGAAAACGACGAGGAGGGGTGCGCCTCCCCAACCGCCACCGCCGCAAACTTTGATTTCTCCGCCCGTGGGGAAAACAGCATGCCTGCCACCCATGGGGGAAACCGCATGCCCAAGATCCCCGACACAACGGATGAGATCGAGGTCCTCCGAGCAGCGGAGCGCAACTTGGAGGAGCTGCGAAGGGGTGCAAGGCTGAATTAGCTGCACATCACGCATCTCCTGCCCCCGCCGACGCGCTAGGAGGCCACACGCAGCAGCCTACAGCCACACTACCACCGACACCTGGCGGGTAAGCATCTTCCCTGCCGGTGCCGCCGTGATGTCTGTCGGCTGCTCGATCTCTCGCCCTCGACTGGCATCTGTTGGGCGCTCGTTATGGAGACGGATGTCGTCCCATAGCCTGGCCAGCCGTAGCCGTAGGGGGACCCCGGTGGCATGGTGGTGGTGGTGGTCACCGATTGTCGGGCTTCCATGGCCTCTAGACGCGCCCAGAGAGACGCCATCTGCTGGGTGAGGTCGGCCAGTGCCTTAGCGATGGGATCTAGCGGCGGCGGCAGCGAGTTGCCCTCCTCAGAACCTGGCATCTCTGATACCAGATGTTATGGTGGCTGTTATGGCTGCTGGGATTGCGAGGGAGAGAGAGGGCCGGCCGGGGACCTTGCCCACGGCCGAGTAAGAGAGAAGGTTTTTCCTTCTTAATTCTTGCTTATCTCTATCTAAGTTATTACAGTCATTAAATAGGCAACCTGGCCTCAAACCGAGTGGTTGGCGTCATCCCTTGCCCAGTCTCACGCTCCAACGCATGCCTAGTCTTCTCGTCCTAAATTGCCTAGTCTTCTCCTCCTAAATTTAGGCCATGCACAGTCTTCAGTCTTGGACATGCAGTGATCACACACCTCTAACAGACACTACGTGAATAGTATCCTTGTTTATACAACATAGTTAGACACAAACAGGCCACCGTGACATGTTCTAAGTTCCTCACCTCCCAATTTTTCTTGGCCGCCACAGTGGCATATGTTCCGAGTTCCTCACCTCCCAATTTTTCTTGGTGCAGGGATTTAATAGGACCTAAGTTAGCAGCATGGAACAATTTGTTATCACGCATTGCTAATATTACTTTGACACAAGAAAAAGATGAGTTTCATTGCTAATATTACTTTGACACAAGAACAAGATGAGTTTCACTGGAATCTATCAAATGGACATTTCTCGGCAAAATCCCTCTATATGGCACTTATCCACTTAGATGTTCCCAATATTAATAAGAGAATATGGAAATTAAAGGCCCCTTTAAGAATGAAACAATTAAGCATCTGTTTTTCGAGTGTCAATTTGTTCGTGCAGTCTGGGCTGTTGTGCAAGCAGCTACAGGTCTTCCTCAACCTTGTAGTGTATCCAACATGTTCGGAAGTTGGTTACGTCATTTAAGTAAGGACTTCAAGCCGCTAGTCCTGTTGGGAGCAGGTGTCATTTGTTGGTCGCTTTGGTTATACAGGAATGATATAATTTTTTTAAAGAAAAGGTGTTTCTTCTCGTGTGCAGAGGTTATGTTCTCAACTATACATTGGCTTCGTACCTTGGGCTATACTACAGAGACCGACTTTCCAGGATTTGGTTGTGGTGGTCTGTCTACAATTAGCGCAGGTGGCCAAGGAATGTTTTTTCCCAGGCACATGGGTGGCAATCTAGCCTACGCATTGATTGATACTAGTGTGTCGAACTTCCTTTAAACATAATAGGTTGTGTGCATTCTAATATGCAGAGGCCAGGAGTGTTTTCATGCATGATGATTGTATCAACTTGATGTAATGAGCTTGAAACATAATAAAAGCTTCCTTTATCGAAAAAACTGACCAACATGACACGGAATAAACGGCAAATGACAGAAGTCGACATGGACATGTATAAAACTAAAAGAGCCAACATTAAATGGTCAAATCGTCACTATCTAATGCTTAGGAACAAGCAATAACATAAAATTACAAACGGAAAAACAATCAATTGCATGTAGGCTTATGAAAAACTATAATGCACATGAAACTACACCTACAAGCAAAAAAACAAAGTGGTCATCTCAATACCATCTAGCCCTATGAATATACAGTTACATGTAAAAGTACAAATGACAAAACCCAATTTTCGTATAGAGCTGTATCAAAATACAAATGGCAAAATTAAGTAGTCAACTCAAGTACAGCTAGTGTTTTTTTTGAGGCATTAGCATAAAAATGACAAAAAAAGTAGTCAACTCAATTATTACACATTTAAAACTAAAAATGGCAATATCAATTGTTCAACTCGACACCATCTAGATAAGAAAAAATAGGGTACTCCTCTAAATCTGCTTATTGGGCTTATTTCCAGGGATCAGTAACCTTTGAGCCTTGGAGAAGACTCTAGAAAACTTGGGCTCCAAATAAGTGTAAGGTTTTTCTTTGATTGGCAATTCGTAATAGGTGTTGGACGGCAGATAGACTTGAAAAGAGAGGGCTGCCTCATCCTGAGCAATGCCCCCTATGTGATCAGGAGGATGAGACAGGACAACACTTGCTAGTATCTTGTGTGGTGGCAAGACAGGTTTGGTTCAAGCTTTTAGCGCCCCTGAACCTGGGTGATTGCATTCCAAGGCAGCGGGAGCGCAGCTTTGCCGAATGGTGGCGCAAGGTTTTGAAGAAAGTGAAAAAAGAATACAAGAAGGGGGTAAATTCCCTAATAATTTTGGCTGCTTGGATGATATGGAAGCATAGAAATGCCTGTGTGTTTGAGAGGATGGCTCCCTCGGTCGATTCCATTATGAGAGACCTCAAAGACGAACACAGCCTTTGGTATCTGGCCGGCGCTAAGCTGCAAGGCCTCGGCCTAACTGGTGTAATTTAAACAGCTAGGTCAAGTTTTGGTCATGTACTTTTTTGTTTCATAGGCTAGTTTTTGTTCTGTTTAATTATCTCTCATATTTGGTCCCCGTATGAGAGAAGGGAGTTGTATGAGGACCTTTTTCTCTCTCTAATGTAATGAAGCGCAGCTCTCCAGCGTTTTCTAAAAAAAAAGTTACTTGAACAAAAAAGAGAAATATTGGGAGCAAATTGTCCCATATATGAAACTAAAAATGACAACATTAAGTCGTCAACTCAACACCATGCGGTTCTTATGAACAAACAGTGATGCTGTACAAAAGTACAATAGACAAAATTCAGTTTCATGTAGAGCTCATAACATATGAAACTACAAATGACAAAATAAAGTAGTTGGCTCGTCTACACCTAGCACTTAGAAGCAAACAGTTGGATACAAAGTAGAAAAAAAAACCACTAGTTATTATTAGCTTGTTTGCAACTGAAGATATGCATCCCAAAATCAGGTTTATGATTCGAATGCAACCATTATTAATTGATATCCTAGTAACCAACCAGGACCTGAATATTTATAACAATCACTGCACTGGAAAAAAATAATCATAATAATCAACAGATTTATGTCATATTGCATACCAATGGATCGATGTATATACGGTCTATTCAGTGCGTCCATCAAAAATCATATCCAAAGCAAGTAGTACATATCCATGCACAAAAATGGTGGGTGAGTTTGAGCAGGGGCTTTACTGATGACTGGGATATCCATCTCCAGGCTGATGAGCTCGAGGAGCTTGAAGCCGTTAATGCCGTCAGGCATGAAAACGTCACTGATAACCAGGTCGAACTGGTCTTTCCTGTCCTTCCTCGCTCTGAGCATGTCCAGCGCCGTGGATGCATCGGTCACCGTTGTCACTGCATAGCACCACAAGCATTCGAACAAAAATGAAAAGAAATCACCGTTGAGCCCTTGACCTGATCACAATGGAATCGGAGGAAATAAACACTCACCGTTGTTGTAGTTGCACAACTTTAGCACTCTCTTTAGTACAGCGAGGTTGATGCGGTCATCATCTACAGCGAGCACGTGCAGTCCAGCTAAGAACTTGGCCGCGTCCATCTCTTCCCCCATCAAAAAAACGAGCAGATCAACACCATCAAAGAAACAGCGGACCACAAAAACTCCCCGCGAGAACAGAGGAAAACACCCCGCAGTCGACCTTTCTTACCTGCTGCAATTGCTTTCCTGCAAGAACCTTCTGGAGCAACAGGCGGATAGTGAAGAAGCAAGGAGCGAGCAGAATTCGAAGTGGAGCATGGAGAGGAATGCAGTGAGGGGGGTGGGGATTTATAGCAGAGGATTGGGGGGACACGGGCGGATTCGAAACCCTGTTCATACTTCTGAATTTCCCTCCCATTAATTGCTGCCTTCGGTTACTATCTGCTTCCATCTCTAGCCTGTTGGCTTTGCTCGTCCCTTCTGTGAGCTTATAGATATAGATATACTTCAGTTTCTAATGAATGAAACCACTCGAGAATCTCCCATGGTTTCAACTGGTTTTGAAACAAAAGTCAGCGGAACAAAAATAAAAGGAGGGAAAATCGTGAAAATGTTTTTCCCATGAAGTTTAGACCCATACCAGGACAGAAGCATGAAAATGGAAGAGCCAGTGGCGATTGCAAGCCGCGTCGGAGAAGATGAACAGGCGGCGGCGTGTTTCCATGAGGCCGTTATGCTGTTGAAGGATTTTCACCTTCCACGTCTTTGCAAATAGCTGGCTGGGCCTGGGCCTGGGCCTTATCCTCTAGTAGTTCATTAGCAAATAGGCGAGCCCAAGCGGCATACTTGTCACTGTTGCGAATCTAAAATAAATAAATAATAAATAAACTTGTCACTGTTGCTGCCATCTAGTTCACCCTAACGGTAGCTAGCAGCTTCACTGAACGAAATAATGTTCAGCCTTATATGCGCATCCTTACCCTTTTTTTCTTTTGCATGAAAATAATACGAGTTAGAATGACTTGCATCTAGTAATGATAGATATGAAGCCTGATTTTAAGATGTACTAGATCTAGCTTGTTGGTCTTCCTTTCGTACGTATGTTTTTGCACAATACTAAGAGGCTAAAATTAACCAAATAATAATTCCAACTCTATACGTATGCAAGTTCATAATAGAGCATGTAAGATCATGGCATAGTTAGAAAAAAAAGGTAAAAGGAAAAGAGATATCTTGAAGTCCTTAATTAAATGTGTCGGTGTTTCGGACCAGGGGGTCCTCAACCAACTAGTGAATTTGTTCTGCGTGCTCCCGATCCGGATGGTGATGCAAAGAGACACAAGGTTTATACTGGTTCAGGCAATCGAGGCCCTACTTCCAGTCTGAGAGATCGATCTTGTATTCCTTGCACCGAGGTGCTCGTAGTAGGGGGTTACAAGCTAAAGGAGAGAAGGAGCTAGTCCTAGGTCTCGGCAGGGTGCCGTGCGGGTCGCTTGAGACGTTGCTCTCCGGCGGCAGGAGTGTGCGTGTGTGTTACCAGGTGTTCCCCTCCCCCCTAAAACAACCCAGGTCCTCTCCTTTTATAGCATGAAGGGAGGACTAGGGCAGTACATGAGCTGACTATACGGCGTCGTGTGAACAGAGGCGGCATGTCCGGGCCCTGTAGCCTGTTCCTGTGGCGGTGTGGCCGTCGGAGTGGTCCATCCTTGGAGTACTGGGGCGGCGTGGTCATCCCATCAGATCCTGTGCGTCGTGGGAGCCCCGGGAATGCCTCGGAGTGGTCGCGGCGGCGACCGTGCAAGCCACTGTGGACGGACTGTGCGCGAGGCCGAGACTTGGTCGATGCCGAGGCTGGCACTGCGGTGGGGGGGTCTCGGTAGGCACGAACCCCAAGATCGCCGAGGCCCCGGTGTACAGTGCCGAGGCCTTGAGCGGGCGGCCGATCATGGGTACAACGTTTGGACACAGTGGTCGGTAATCCCCGTCGTACCCTGTCCCAGCCGGTATGGTGTTAATCGTGGACACAGTGGTAGGACACAGTGGCCGGTAATCCCCGTCGTACCCTGTCCCAGCTGGTATGGTGCTGATGTGACCTCGGGTCGCGTCGGCCATGCTATGGCGTTGAACCACCGTCCGGCTGAGATTGCGGGAGTGGTTGAAGCATTAATGAGACATGACGAGTTGTTGGGAGGGTCGGCCGAGGCGGGGGGCGACGGACCGCGGACGAGCCGGCCTCGAGCGACACGGAGAATGAGGCCTCGCGCGAGGCGGAGATCAGATTCCTTGCCGAGGCCTTGCGCGAGACACCTCGCGCGATACGGAGAATGTACCCCTGCCGAGGCCTTCCCTGGATAGCCTCGGGCGAGACGGAGACGGCGCCCCCTGCCGAGGCTCGGCGTCCCCTGCCGAGACCTACCCTGGGGAGCCTCGCGCGAGGCGGAGTTTGTTCTGAGACCCCCTGCTCGAGGCTCGAGGCTCGAGGCGAGGTGGAGGAGGGCTCGGTCGTGGCAGGTGAGGGGCCCACGGCTTACCTTCTAGCTTTATTTTGATGTTTGCTTGGGGTACCCTGTTCTAAGGTACCCGACAGTAGCCCCCGAGCCTCGGGGTGAGTGCGTGCACTCTCCCTGAGGGTTCGTCGAGGCTGGGTTTATGCCTGCTCCGTAGGAATTGGTTTGGTTTCTGAGGTTCCGGTGGGTGCGCGCGAGCGCACCCGCCGGGTGTAGCCCCCGAGCTCCTGGAGGAGTGAAGTTACCCCTCCAGGGGCTTTCTCCACTTTCGCGTTTGAGTGATCAGTTCTTATTGCATTTGCCGAGCCCATAAGCGCAAGTTCGGGTTGTGGGGGTCTCGGCGAGGTTGCAAAAAAGAGGCCCTCTAGCCTCCGCATGGAGCGAGAGGTTCATCAGGGGTCCCCCTGACGTTGGGTATGTCCCTCACGCTTCCTTTTGCTCGGAAGGAGGGGTGGAATGTGCCATGCTACCCTCGATGGGCGCGAGCGTGGACACTTTCGGTGAGTCACATCGGGTAGTCCGAGTGGAGGCCCGAGCCCCATTCGCTAGGGGATGGCTAGCGGTCCGTAGACGCACTCAAAAGTACGGAGGATTTCTCTAGTGGGTGCCGAGGCCGTTCACTGGGCCTCGGTGGCTCGGTGCCTCCCTACGGTGGGATCCCATTCGGATACTTTCTGTCGGTCTCGGACACGACTTAGGGCGCCCCGAAAGCGATCGCTTCGTTCGGGCTGGGCCATTCGTGGCTCTCGCCCCAAAGTCGCCCCCGACTTCTGTTGCCACAGGGGCATCTTTGTCGAAACCTCTTGAGGCCCAGCCTTGAACCCCTAGATCGTGAATGGGCTCGGTGCCCTTTATCGTGTTTTTGTCTTGGTTTTTGGGTGCAAGAGGAGCCCCCGAGCCTCCGCCTGGAGCAAGAGGACGGTCGAGGGTCTCCTGACTTTTTCATTCGCCCCTCGCATATCCTTTTCGTTTGGATGGAGGGTTCATTTGCCGAGCCCATTCTGGTCTCGGCAAGGTTGCAGGAAGAGCCCCTAGCCTCTGCGCAGAGCGAGAGGGCTGTCGGGAGTTCTCCTGACTTTTTATACACCCCTCGCACGTGAGGGTTTGTTTGCCGAGCCCATTCTGGTCTCGGCAAGGTCGCAGGAAGAGCCCCTAGCCTCTGCGCAGAGCGAGAGGGCCATCGGGAGTTCCCCTGACTTTTTATACGCCCCTCGCGCGTGAGGGTTTGTTTGCCGAGGCCCCTTTGGGCACAAGCCCGGGTCGTGGGGTCTCGGCATATTTGCAGGAGGAGCCCCCTAGCCTCTGCATAGGGCGAGAAGGCCGTCAGGGGTTCCCCTGACTTTTTATGCGACCCTCGCGCTTCCTTTTCGCTCGGAAGGAGGGGTGGAACGTGCCTCGCTACCCTCGATGGGCACGAGCGGTGGCACTTCCGGTGAGCTGTTATCGGGTAGTCCGAGTGGAGGCCCAAACCCGTTCGCTAGGGGCGGCTAGCGGTCCGAGACACACTCCAAGAGTACTAGAGGATTTCTCTAGTGTGGGTGCCGAGGCCGTTCGTTGGGCCTCGGTGGCTCGGTGCCTCCCTACGGTGGGATCCCATTCGGATACTTTCCTGCCGGTCTCGGACATGACTTTGGGCGTCCCAAGCGTTTCGCTCGCTTGGGTCTTGGCCCCGAATAGGCTCGCCCGCAGTCGCCCCTGACTCTGTTATCCTGGGGCAGCTGTCGAAACCCTTTTGGGGTCCAGCCTTGAACCCTGGATCGTAATAGGCTCGAGCCTGGTTCCTTCCTATGAAAGGAACAGGCCAAGGAAATATTTTCCCTATTGGCTCGGCCATGAGTGGCGCCGCTTTTTGAGGCGGTTTTATTGGGAGTCGAAACGGTACCTGCTGCCGTAGTGGCCAAGCGTGGCGTGGTGGATGGGACGTAACCGTCCTCGCATTTAATGCGGGACACGTGGGCGCGTGGGCCGGTGAAATCGGCTCGTGGTTAACCGCGCTAGATTGGGGGGAAATCTCCCCGATTTCATCGCTTCGCTTGCTTTTCACCTCCTCCTGCATAAATACCGGGGAGTTTTGCCCTCCTCATCTTACCTTGCTCGCATCGGCGCCGCCCACACGAGCCATCGCTAGAGCAAATGAAAAGCCGAGAAGGAGAGGAGGAAGAGCGAGCCTAGGGAGGAAGCGAGAAAAAGGTGAGAGCGTGGGAGGGAGAGAAAAGACTCACCGCCGCACCTGATTCCCCCAGCGCACCCATGGCCGGTGATATCGTTGTCGTTGAGGCGGACCCCTGGGATCCGTCGGACGTCACCGAGGAGATGCTCCATCGCTTGTCGACGGTGGGCTCTCTCCGCCCGGTGGCCCGACTCCACCGAGCCGAATGGATTGCTCCGTCTGGCGAGCCGGAGCCGAGGCCTCGCGACGGCTATGTCGTAAGCTTCGTCTCCTTCCACGAGCTTGGCCTCGGCGTCCCGGTGGACCGATTCATGCGGGCACTTACGCACTACTACGGCGTGGAGCTCCACAATTTTAATCCCAACTCCGTTGCTCAGGCGGCTATCTTTGTTGCCGTCTGCGAGAGGGTATTTAGGGATCGCGCCCATTGGGAGTTGTGGCTC